GCACCGTCGGATGGTCTCCGAACGGAAAAGGCAAAAAGCGCAAGTGAAAAGCAGCAGTGAGGAGGGCAGCAAGGCATGCGAATTGCGCTGGGCCATGGTGGTGGGAATCGGGACGGAGGGATGATCCCAAGGGACGGAGGTCCACACACGCTGCCACATGGAAGGGACTGCCACGTCGTTTCCCGGGGATAGGCCTACCCGCTAAAAATATTTCGGTAGCCTCCTATCAAACCAGCGAACTGTGGATCAGGAAAACATGTCAAGTTGCTTTCTACATACCAGTTTTGTAAAGAACGATTTGACAAAGGTTTTGGCATGCTCGGACATATTTGCATTAACAAAATAAGCATTTTGATTAATTTTATTTTGTATATTCACTGGACTTATTTGTTTAACAGCATTGACACTTGATTATGTGAGCCCATTCGTCCTTACATAAGGCAGAAACAATCATTGTATTACATAATATTGTATGCCAGTGTTGAAAATTTCTGTGCGAATTCAAGCTCTTTGAACTCCCCTTCACCGACTAAAAATATGATGGGAGATACACTCAAACGCAGAATGGTGAATTTGTGGACAATTGACACAACCGCTCAAAACCGTTGATCCTCTCCACTAGGAACCTGCTCCCGCTCACACTCCGCCTCGCACTTTCCCCCCCCAGAATCTCCGCTTGGTGCAACCGCACGGCGCTGTGTTTCCGCACAACCCGCTTCCCCGCTCCGCCCGCTCACTGCGCGCCACCTTTCCTTCCCCGCATCCCCCACTCACCTCCCCCCCACGGCTCTCCCTTTTTTTCCCCCTTCGCCTCTCCCTAGCCCTCTTTCTCTCCCTCCGCTTCACCTCGAACTGGTAGTCGCAGCCTTCTTAGCAGCCGTTCCGCAAACCCTAATTCTCTTTTCGCCCTTTATTCTCTTCTCCGTCCTCTCGCCTCTGTCTCCTAACTCGCCGCCATGGGTGAGCAACTTAGCTTCCGCGGCCACCTCAAGGGCCACTCCGATTGGGTCACGTCGATCGCGTGCCCGATCGACAACAGCGATTCTATCATCTCATGCTCGCGCGATAAGGGCATCATGTCGTGGTCGCTCACTCGCGACGCCGCCTCCGCCACGGGCGTGCAGCTCGCCGGTGTGCCCAAGCGCCGCCTCACCGGCCACGGCGGTTTCGTGCAGGTGAAGCTTCGAATATTTTAGATTCCTTTTTTTTCACGGAGGTTTCGTGCAGCTGCGTTTCATTGTAGATTCTCGGTCTCCCGGCGTAAACCGCGCAATTCTCCGGTCTGTTAGTGGATCTAAAAATTTCTGGTGTTGTGGCTGAGCTAGCTGCGCTCATTATGCGACAAAGAGCCCGTGTGTTTGCACAATGGTGTGATTTGCCGAACTAGTTAGTAGCTCGTCGAGGCTCACATTTGTGCCCGCCGCTCGAGGTATTCGCGGATTGCTTAGTAATTTATAGATGGTGTGTGGCCGCCATTCGTCGACTGTCGTCCCGCAGCAACACCTTTCCTGTTGGCCGTTTATTCACGTCGCCATTCTTCTCGTTCCTTCGTCTTCATGCTCTCTGGTCGCACTCACCCAGTATAACGCATACGCTAGGTCTTCCGATGGTCAGATAGGGCTCTCCGGCTTGCGGGACCTGAACACTAGCGCATTCTGATTCACGTCTCCCTTCCCCTTTCCCCACACTCACCCTCTAACGCGTACAACAGGACGTCGTGATCTCATCCGACGGTCAGTTCGCGCTGTCCGGCTCGTGGGACAGCACCCTCCGCCTGTGGGACCTCAACACCGGCGCCACCACGCGCCGCTTCGTCGGCCACACCAAGGACGTGCTCAGCGTCGCCTTCAGCGTCGACAACCGTCAGATCGTGTCCGGGTCGCGCGATCGCAGCATCAAGCTGTGGAACACGCTGGGCGAGTGCAAGTACACGATGAACGACGCGGACGCTCACCAGGGGTGGGTGTCGTGCGTGCGCTTCTCGCCCGTCAACACGCAGCCCATCATCGTCTCCGCCGGCTGGGACAAGGTCCGTTGGGCGGTTGTAACGGGCTCGTTGGGCGCCTTGAAGTAGGCTCGTTGGGTGGTTGGGATTAGGTTCGTTGGGCGGATGCGGCAAAGTACCTTGGAGGCTAGAATAATATCTAATCAGCGGATGGCATCAGGCTTCTACCATGAGGTTCTTAACGGTCGCAGTTGGGTTGGATTACGTACCTTTCCAGCCAAGGTGGGGTACCGGGATTGCAGGTTTCGTACTTTCTCCCTAAGCAGCTGCGACGCTAGAGTGTGCACTAGCGGAACGGCCCCTCCCTTTGCCCCTCTTGCACGGGCGGCCTCCTCCGTCTGTCCCTCTCGCACATGCACACGTCCGACGCGTCAGAACCATCCCGTAGAGCCTTGTGAGTCGATTCCAAAGTCGGGTCAGATTTCGCTGGGTTGGCTCGTGGGTCACGTGGGGCTGCGAAGCTCGATCGCGTTTTCCTCATCCCGTCCAACAATCGAGTCTTCCTTGTTCCCCCCTTCCATTTCCTCTTCCTTCAGCACCTCTCTCCTCCCCTACCCCCAACCCCACCCCCTTTCAACCCCCCTCCCCCTCCCCGTTCCCCCTCCCCCCGCCCTCTTTCCTCCATTCCCGCCCTCCTTCCGCCCCCCTTCCCCTTCCACTTCCCCTCCCCTTCTCTTTTCCCCCTCCCCGTTCCCATTCTCTTCCTTCTTCTCCCTTCCCCCCACCCCTTCCGCCCGCCGTTCCCCCCGCCATTCCCCCTGACCACTTGCAAGCTCCGTCACAGCCTGCTCCCATCAACACCACCATTGCTCCCTGTCCCCTCCCCTCCCCCCTTGCCCCTTCCCCCTTTCCCCCCCCCTTCTCCTCTACACCTCCAGGTGGTGAAGGTGTGGAACCTGACCAACTGCAAGCTCCGCCAGAACCTGCTCCCATCAACACCACTGTCTCTCCTCGTCCCCTCCCCTTCCCTTTGCCCCTCTCCCCTTGCCCCTCCCCCCTTCCCCGGGCCGCTCTCCTTTACTCTACCAGGTGGTGAAGGTGTGGAACCTGACCAACTGCAAGCTCCGCCAGAACCTGCTGGGCCACACCGGCTACGTCAACACGGTGATCGTTTCCCCTGACGGCTCGCTGTGCGCGTCCGGCGGAAAGGACGGCGTGGCGATGCTGTGGGACCTGGCGGAGGGCAAGCGGCTGTACTCGCTCGACGCGGGCGACATCATCCACTCGCTCTGCTTCTCCCCGAACCGCTACTGGCTGTGCGCCGCGACGCAGTCGTCGATTAAGATCTGGGACCTGGAGAGCAAGAGCCTCGTGGACACGCTCGTGCCGGACTACGAGCTGGTCCGCGCGCGCGGGGGCGCGGAGTTCAAGGGCCAGGTGAGGGGAGGGGGGGAGGAAGGGTGGGGTAGTTGAGCGGGAGGGACGGCGCAATTGGGTAAGGGGACATGTGAGGGGAGGGGAATGGGGCAAATTGGAATACGAGGGGGAAGTGACAGGGTGTATGGGGGAAGAGAGGGGTGTTGAGGTGAGCTGGAGAGCAAGAGCCTCGCTCGTGCCGGACTACGAGCTAGCTCGCGCGCGCGGGGGCGCGGAGTTCAAGGGCCAGGTGAGGAGAGGGGAGGTGGTGGAACGGGAGGGGCAAGTGGGCGGGGGGGCTAGGTTAAGCTGGATGGGAAGTGGGAAAGTTCAACGGGCAGGTGAGTGCGGGAAAGGTTAAGGAGCAGGTGACAGGACGAGATGAGGGAAGTTAGGGAAATGCAGGGCTTCGTGGGGTGTGGAGGGTGAAGCTGGGGTAAGGGGGAAGTGGTGGGCAAGGAAGGACCATGCGGTGAGACCCGGTGGCACCTCGTGTCATAGTAGTTCGCCCTGTTCACGCTAATATCTGGGCCCTACTGGGAGGAATGGGATGGGGGGGGCAGGGGGACATGTTAAGGCATGGTAGATTGTAAGTGCCAGTTGAACAGAAGTGTTTGGCGTTTCCGAAAAAGAGTTGTTCAAGAAATGGAGGCCAGGGAAGCAGGGGTTCAGGGGAGGTGAAATGAGAGGAGTACGGAGTTTTATGGGCAGGAGAACGGGGCAAATGTGGCACCTTGGACAGGGGAAGAAGTGGGGTTTAGTAGGCTGAGTTTGATAGATATTAAGGCGTATCCTGCCCCGGTCCTGTGAAACAGAGATTGAGGTGAAGGCGTGGCTCCAGCGGAAAGGTGGTATTTTGCTCCAGTGATGTGTGGGCTTCGTTGGGTAGGAGGCTGGGGGAACAAGCTGATGGGTGATGATGCAGAGGGTGGTAACTACCTCAATCGCAAGGTTGTTGGGTTTGAAGTTGCGAATTTAGAGAGCTGGTATTGCATGGAGGACTTTCAGGAGTTGCTCCGAGTGTGCCAACTTTTCGCCGCTTCTCACTCTCCACCCATGCTTATCCATCCCCTTTCCTGCCTCCCCACTCTCTCCCACATGAACCTTTCCCGCCCATTTCCTTGCTCTTTTCTCGCTCGCCCCCTCTTGTTGTCCCTGTACCAGACGCCGTACTGTGTGAGCCTCAACTGGAGCGCAGATGGAGCCACCCTCTATGGTGGTTACACCGACGGTTACATCCGTGTCTGGTCCGTTGGCCGCGGCTTCTAAGGAGGTTTGAACTCAAATAGAAGCTGGCCGTTTTCTGGACAATCTACAGCTGGCGGAGACGGGGCGTTTAGAGATGTTCTGCTGTGCTGTACGAAGCGCCCTAGGGGATTGTGCCCAAAGGTGTTGGTCGTTATGTTTTTGTGGTGCTTGTTGCAGTAGCATGCTGTAATCTTCTTATTGGTGCAAGTGAAATGCATTCACTGTCTTTGTTGCCAATGATGGAGACTGAGAAGAGACTTATTGGAATGTTATTGCTTGGCCAAAGCAATGTACGGTAGGTTTTCCATGAAATACACGACAGGGTACTTTCTTAGGAGAAATGAACCTGCATTAGCAAGGATGAGTCAGTGTATGCATTATAAATATCGAGTTACTTTTCTCTAGGGAAATCGCCGGACTGGGGAAGCTCCAGCTTGACATCCACAAAGTCATCCCCATCTGAAAAGTAAACCAGCCTCTCACCCGCCCCAGCTTGCCCTCCTTCCGAGTCAAACCCCTCTCCCAGCACCACTGGTGAGTCCAATGACGGCGGCATTGCAGCGCTTGCAGCAGGCAGCTGACTGGCATCAAGGCTGAGATTCCGGTCAACAAAGTCCTCTCCATCGGAGAAGTACTGAAGCATGCCGTCAGGAGTAGCCTGGGCGTCTGCCAGTACGAATACAGGGTTGATACCCAATGGGGAGTCGAGGGATGGGATCTCTGCACCGAAACCCCTTGCTACGGGTGCTTCTTTGATCCCTGCTTGTGTGTCCTCGCCCTCTTCTTTTGGAGCTGCTGCTGTTTCGTCTGCTTTGCTCGCGACAAGCACGCCCACTGTAGCGGCAGCTGCAGCTGCAGCAGCCACTGCAGATGCACGAGTGGCGGTAAACGCGGCAACTTTAGCAGGATTCTCCTGCTGCCGCGTGTCCCCATCGACAGCAGAAAGAGCTGCAGATGCAGCAGCGGATGCTGCAGATGAAGGAGCGGCAGTACGCTCGTCTTGTTTATTCATGAGAAAGGCTGTGGGTTCTATGGGCCGAATGGCTCTACGACCGAGTGTTTCCTGTTCAAGAAAGAACGAAAAGACAGGAAGCATGGAATGTAACAATTGAGACGAATTGACAGCGATTCGGATGTTCATATGCACCACAAGCCTAACTGGGAAAGCATTTGTGAGTCAACTCAAAAGCAACCCATAACAAGGCCAATTAGGAAAGGAGGGGAAGCCGCGTACCTTGAGAGTGTCGAGAAGAGGGCGGGAGGAGATGAGGTCGGAGGACTGGGAGGAGGAGGAAGCAGAGAGAGCCCTCTGGTCCATGGCGTCCCGCATGAGGCGCCGCACAAACACCACATCGTCTCTCATCACCCCCATGTCCTGTAGAAGCATGGAGCCCAGACGCAGACCAGTCTGCAGTGAAGGATTGGGGGGAAGGAGAGGGAGAGGGGTTGGTTCAGGGGCAGCGAGAGGGAGGAATGGCACAAACACCACGTCGTCTCTCATCACCCCCATGTCCTGTAGAAGCATGGAGCCGAGGAGGAGACCAGTCTGCAGTCAAGGATTGGGGGGAAGGAGAGGGAGAGGGGTTGGTTCAGGGGCAGCGAGAGGGAGGAGTGGCACAAACACCACATCATCTCGCATCACCCCCATGCCCTGTAGCATCATGGAGCCGAGGAGGAGACCAGTCTGCAGTCAAGGAGGCAGCAGGGGGAACACAAGGGGAGAGGGACAGGGGTTGGTTTAGGCCAGTGAGAGGGAGGAATGGCTCGAACACCACATTGTTTAACGCAATTCCTTTGCCCTGCAGGAGCATGGAGCCCAGGCAAAGACCAGTCTGCATGGGCACGTAGAGAGGCGAGAGCAACACGGATTGGTCCAGGGACTGATGCAATGGGGTGGAGAAAGAGCAAGGTGCTGGACGGACGTTGTGTAGGGACAGGAGCGATGGGGTGGAGAAGGAGCAACCAGCAACATGTGAGGCTTGGCTGGAAGCTAACACTTTGCCACAGCACAGTGTCTTGCACATGTGGTACGCAGGAGAGGGGAATCACATGCAATTTTAATGCTGTACCTATCCTTACCAGCTCGTACTCAGCGAACAGGAACTTTTGATCCCATGCGTCTTGCGAGGGTCACCTCAGCGCTCTCCAACACCACGTCAGTGGTCCCTGCTCGCATTTTGAGTCGACTCAAAAAGAAGATTCCATGTGACTCACCTCAGCACTCTCCAGCACAACGTCAGTGGTCCCTGCTCGCATTCTGAGTCGACTCAAAAAGAAGATCCCATGTATCTTGAGAGACTCACCTCAGCACTCTCCAACACCACGTCAGTGGCCCCTGCTCGCATTTTGAGTCGACTCTAAAAGAGGATCCCATGAGAGACTCACCTCAGCGCTCTCCAACACCACGTCAGTGGCCCCTGCTCGCCTGAGCTCCGACAGATGCATTGAGTCCACTGCCCGTGCATACAGAGGTACCTGGAGCGAGCAAGGGGAGGAGGGAGGGAGGAAGGAGGAGGAGAGAGAGGAAATGTCCGTGAGTTAACTCACAGGTGACACTCATATTTCACATGACAAACTCTCGCGACAGGTGTCCTTGAGTCAACTCACAACACGCAAAAATGACGTTACAGACACTCACCCCAGGAAAAGCCTCTTTGAGCCGCTCGATTGAAGCCACGGATCGGGTGCGGCTGGAATAGACGACCATGAAGGCCTTGGGGCGGCGAATGCCGGCCGATTCCAGCACTGCCGGGCGGCTGCCGTCGCCATACAGGACGGGGAAACCGAGCGATGCGCCAAGCTGTCAGGGGATCGAGAGGGGCAAGGGTGAGGTTTGAAGAGAGTTGGGTATCCAAGGAAGCTCGAAACCTGTTACAAGTTGGAACTGGAGGAAATGCTGAGAGGGAGTGTAAGCGGCCTTACCCGCACGCGCTTGGGGTTGAGATCGAAGGAGATGAAGTTCCAACCAGCAGGACAAGGGTGTGGGTGAGGCTTACAGAGAAATTTATGATCAAGGAAACTCAACCTCGTAACAAGTTAGAACTGGAGGATATGTTGAAGGACAAGGAGTGCGAGGGAGTGAGAGGGAGTGCGAGGGAGTGCAAGGGGGCTTGGCTTACCCGCACGCGCTTGGGGTTGAGATCGAAGGAGATGAAGTTCCAACCAGCAGCGTCTCCCCCTGACCCCGCTGCAAGCGGCGTGGAGAGGAAGTTGGCCAGCACCTGCCCCATCTGGTTGAACCCCAGAATGACTATCGGCTCCGCACCGGCGAAGTGTGTAGAGTGGGATGCGCCTGCCTGTGATGGTGGTAGGAGCAATGTGGGTGAGCAGAGGAATAGAGATGGCAGGGCAGGATTGTGAGCTTCGGCACAAGTTGGTTGAATTGAACCCCGCAATCACTGCCAATTCGTGCAGGAAGCAGAGAGTTTGTGGGCATGCCAACCTTTATGAGAGTTACAAAAGCAGCAGCAGAAATAAATAAACTTACCGCTTCGCCTTCCATGCCGCCATCGGCTCCACTCATCGCCCCATTGCCGCCTGCTCCCAGTCTACCAACAGCCGCCCCACCACCCACGCCCCCGGCAGCAACAGTGGCAGCGTCCCTGGATTCGATGTTGTCCTCTATGTACTCGGCTGCTCGGCGCCCCAGGGCGTCCAGGAAGGGCGTGAGCGCCATGGATAGCACCACCACGATGATGAGCAGCCGGTTCAGCTCCAATGGCAGCACGCCTAGTCTGAATTGGTGAGAAGGAGGAAAAGGAGGGAGGGAGGGACGGTGTGACAGAAGGAGGAGGCAAGGGCGTGAGCGCCATGGATAGCACCACCACGATGATGAGCAGCCGGTTCAGCTCCAATGGCAGCACGCCTAGTCTGGCTCATGGGAGGGAGGAAGGGAGGGAGGGAGGGAGGGAGGGAGGGAGATGGAGGAAGGGCGTGAGCGCCATGGAAAGAACCACCACGATGATGAGCAGGCGGTTCAGCTCCAATGGGAGCACGCCTAGTCTGAATCGTTGGAGAGAGGAAGGGGGGAGGGGGGGGAGGAAGCAGAAAATGAGGGAGGGATGACGGAAGGAGGAATAGAGGGTGTTGAAACACATGGAGAGCACCACCACGATGATAAGCAGACGGTTGAGCTCCAAGGGGAGCACGCCCAGCCTGAATTGGTTGTGGGGGGAAGGGGAGGGAGGTAGGAAAGGGAGGAGGGAGGAAAGGAGGGGAGAAGGGGGAAGAGAGGGTGCTGAGCGCCATGGATAGCACCACCACGATGGTGAGCAGGCGGTTCAGCTCCAAGGGGAGCACGCCTAATCTGGCTCGTGGGAGAGAGGGGAGGGAATGAGGGTGGGAAGGAGGGAGGGAGGGAGGGAAGACAGAAGAAGGAGAGGATATTGAGCGCCATGGATAACGCCACTACAATAGTGGTGACTAGGGCATAGATTAAGAAAGAAAGAAAACAATGGAACAAAGAAACACAAAAACGATATTCCAACAATACAAAGGACGATATAGAAACTCTTTAGAAGCATATGGGTGATGCTAAAGGCGTATGACTCACTGGTTGGCGAGGGCGACTACGACAAAGGCGAATTCACCCGCTTGGGACAGCAGCAGCAGCCCCGTGCGCACGGACTCGGAGAGAGTGAGCCCCACCCGCGGCCCCAGCGCTGTGATTATGGCCGCCTTGATGCCTATGAGGCAGTCCGGAGTGCCAAGAGTGGGGCTTACATATGAAACTATGACTCACTGGTTAGCAAGGGCGAAGACAACGAAGGCGAACTCGCCCCCTTGGGACAGCAGCAGCCCCGTGCGAACGGACTCCGAGAGAGTGAGCCCCACACGCGGCCCTAGAGCCGTGATGATGGCTGCCTTGATGCCTATGAGGCCCACGAGGAGAGCCAGGATGTTGGGCCACTCCGATGCCAGCAGCTGCGAGGGTGTGGGGAAGAGAGAGTGGGGATGGAAAGAGGTGGTTGAGATGGAAGGTGTGATGATGGCTGCCTTGATGCCTATGAGGCCCACGAGGAGAGCCAGGATGTTGGGCCACTCCGATGCCAGCAGCTGCCGGGGGGAGGACGACAGATGGAGAGAAAAAGAGTGAGAAAAGAAGGTGAAAGCTGTGATGCTGGCCGCCTTTATGCCTACTAGGCCTACTAGTAGCACCAGGATGTTGGGCCACTCCGATGCTAGCAGCTGAAGTGGGAGGTGAGAGACGAATGGAGAGGAAGAGTGTGAGAAAGTGAGATGGAAGCTGTGATGATGGCCACCCTTATGGTTATGAGACCTGCCAGGAGCGCCAGGATGTTGGGTCACTCTGATGCCAGCAGCTGTGGAGAAAGGTCAGGACCGGTGGGTGGGACGCAGGAGGAAAATAAGGGCTGTGATGCATGCGTGCTATGGCAATGAGGCCATGTGGCTAGCCAACAGAGCACGGGCTGTCGTGATCCAAGTAACTGGATGGACCGCTGGGATCAGCTTCAGTCAATGAGTAACGAATTCACAGTTGCACTCACGTTGAGGTCGATGGAGCTGCCAGTGGTGACGAAGAAGAGCCCCAGCAGCAGCCCTCTGAAGGGGCGGATGTCCGCCTCCACCTGTGTGCGGTAATTCGTTTCTGCCAGCAGTGCTCCTGCCAGGAACGCTCCCAGCTGTGCAGGCACGCATGGGAGGCAATGAGACATAGAGGAGAGTACAAAAGAGTGAGTCGGGGTTTGGATTTATGGTGCCTCCATAACACCTGTGTGCGGTAGTTGGTCTCTGCCAGTAGTACTCCTGCTAGGAACGCTCCCAACTGCACGCACACGCACGGGAGAGAGAGACAAGGGAAAGTACATTAGTGTTGGTCGACCTCAACGTTAAGGAGAGAGGTAAGAAGTGCGCCTGTTCTAAAGGTTCTTGCATCTAAGCATGCGTGTGGAAGAGTTTGAAACGATGATGTGATGAGCATGAGAAGATGCTGGGTGGTACAAGGGCAGTCTTACCGAGTCACTGAATCCGAGCTTGCTGGTGATGAGAGCTGTTCCCGTGACTGTGAGCAGGCAGAGCGCAATGAACGCCTCTGAGCTCCGCGACTCAGCCACGAACTGCAGATTGGGATAGGGAGAGGCAGGGCAGAATGGGGGGAGGGATCGGGTGGGAGAGTGATGAAGGACAGGCAGAGCGCAATGAACGCCTCTGAGCTTCGCGACTCAGCCACGAACTGAAGAGAGGGCGAGGGAGAGAGGTGGGCAAAGGGAGTCAAGGGATGGGGTGGGTGGGAGAGAGATGAAGGACAGGCACAGAGTGCAAAGGCTGCTGAACAGCGACTGTCACGCTTCATGTCATCATGCGATCCTGCTATCACGCCGTCATCATGCAATCCTGCTATCACGCCATCATGTCATCATGCAATCCTGCTATCACGCCGCCTGCTATCACGACGTCATGGCATCATGCAATCCTGCTATCACGCCATCATACCATCATGCAATCCTGCTATCACGCCGTCATGCCATCATGCAATCCTGCTATCACGCCGTCATGCCATCATGCAATCCTGCTATCACGCCGTCATGCCATTATGCAATCCTGCTATCACGCCATCATACCATCATGCAATCCTGCTATCACGCCGTCATGCCATTATGCAATCCTGCTATCACGCCGTCATGCCATCATGCAATCCTGCTATCACGCCGTCATGCCATTATGCAATCCTGCTATCACGCCCTCATACCATTATGCAATCCTGCTATCACGCCGTCATGCCATTATGCAATCCTGCTATCACGCCGTCATGCCATTATGCAATCCTGCTATCACGCCGTCATGCCATTATGCAATCCTGCTATCACGCCATCATACCATCATGCTATCACGCAGCCTCACCTCAAACAGTCGTCGCAGAGCAATGCGCCCCGTGTACAGCAGCACTCCCAGCCCCAGCAGCGACTTGAGACAACAATTTCATGCTGACATGCTATCATGCTGCACCATCAAAACTCACCTCAAACAGACGTCGCAGAGCAATGCGCCCCGTGTACAGCAGCACACCCAGCCCCAGCAGCGACTTGAGACAGCAATTTCATGCTGACATGCTGTCATGCTGCACCATCAAAACTCACCTCAAACAGTCGTCGCAGAGCAATGCGCCCCGTGTACAGCAGCACTCCAAGCCCCAGCAGCGACTTGAGACAGCAATTTCATGCTGACATGCTGTCATGCTGCACCATCAAAACTCACCTCAAACAGCCGTCGCAGAGCAATGCGCCCCGTGTACAGCAGCACTCCCAGCCCCAGCAGCGACTTGAGACAGCAATATCATGCTGACATGCTGTCATGCTGCACCATCAAAACTCACCTCAAACAGCCGTCGCAGAGCGATTCGGCCCGTGTAGAGCAGCACTCCCAGCCCCAGCAGCGACTTGGCTCCCTCCAGAGCGAGCAGAGGGAAGATGGAATCGTCCGTGAAGTCCTGGGCGTGGGGGAGGGACAGGGAGCGGCAACCGGGAGGGAATAAGGGTGATTGGTTCGACTTGAAGTCACCTTGGCTCCTTCCAGAGCGAGCAGAGGGAAGATGGAATCGTCGGTGAAGTCCTGGGCGTGGGAAGGGGGCAGGGAGCAGAGATTAAGAGGGATGGCTGGTGCGGACAGGCTGTGAGCGAATGGGGTTTGAGGGATCGCAGGGATGATTCACGCTGTATACAGCATAGTACCATTCATAATGTACGCCCAGCGCACCTGCAGTTCTATGTGAGCTTTCCAAGAGAAGGCCTCAACAGCATGTGTGCCTTTCCAAGAGAAGGCCTCAACAGCATGTGTGCCTTTCCAAGAGAAGGCCTCAACGGCATGTGTGCCTTTCCCTTGCAGTGGCAGTAATGGCATTATGGGATCACCTCGTCAGAACAGCATGCCATACCATTTCTCCATGCAGCATCATGTGCTGTGACTAGGTGCCACGTTCTTTAATACTGGAATGTGTCACGATTTGCCATGTGGTTGTTGATTGGCGATTGTTTCTTACCCCGTTTTCGAGGATGGGGAGAATGACGAGCAGAGGGACGACTGCAATGTCCTGCAGCAGCAAGATGCCGAGAGTTGCCGACCCGTAGCGAGTGGCGAGCTCACCCTTTTCAGACAACAACTGCATGAGGCAATTGGAGGGGGCACGGAGAGGAGGAAGCGGAAACGGTGGGGAGAAAGGGGGAGGAAAGCGAGTGGAAAGAGAAGGGGATGTCATGAGTGGAATTTTTGTTGATTGCGGATAATGGAGCTTCAATAGATGTGTGTGTACCATGTGGGACAGGCACTCGAAAATATACTGACTGAATAGCGCCTAGACACGAAATGAATGCTGGTGGAATACTGCTGACTGAGCCCTGAAGAGAGCGTGAGACCTGAGCAAAGCATGAGCATGAGCCCACCTGAAGCACGAAGGCGGAGGAGGAGAGCGCAAGAGCAGCTCCGATGACAATGGCCTCATCTAGTGACCGGATATTCACCTGCAAAGGGGCATGCAAGCACAGGAGACCCAGGCCGGGCAAGCACAGGTAGGTAGTGGCTTTTAGAAACGCTTGCCAGAATCCAAGGACCTTTGGTTTTTCACCATGGATGCTATTTTTCGAGCTTGTATCCTACAGAACGGCTGGGTTTCGGTTGTGTGTTTGAGGGACGAGTAGAACAGGTGAGTACGAACCAGATCAGCTTTGGCCCCAAAGAGGAATTCGAGTGCGCGCGTGCCAATGGCATTGTCGATTGGCAGCTCGAACGCTGTGAAGGCAAGCGTAGTGAGGAGAACCTGTAGGGATGAAAGGAGGGCGGGAGGGAGGGAGGGAGGAAGAAAGAAGAAAGGCGGGTGGGGGAGAGAGTAAGCGAGTACCGTGAGAACTGTATCAGTGTGCTGAGCATTGGAACGAGGACAGCCAGTAAGGTGTGGTGCCGGTTCAAGGACACTAGGAAAGTCGGACGAGATAGGAACTGGGTGGAAGGATGGAGGATAGTCATGATAGGTGGACAGAGGAGACGCATGCAGAGCCGACAGAAGGTTCTTGGGAAGTCATGAACCAGATTCGGGGAGACCTGGACAAGGCAATGACTGGCTGCCTTGAGATATGGGGAGGTGAGCCAAGAAAAGGGTAATGCCAGGAGGTAGATGGGAGAAGAGCTACGGAGAAGGGAGGAACCTGGAGAGGGGAGCGTCGGGAGCAGGTGGTACCAGGGGAGGGGAGCAGGTGGTACCTGGGGAAGGCCCATGCCGAATGCGAACTTGGCGAGTGCTCTGAGTCGCTCGAGGGAGAGCTCGAGGCCCATTTCGAAGAGCTGTCATGGGGACGGTTAAGAGAGATGGGCGGTTAAGAGATGTGCGGATTGAGGAGTGATGGGGAGCGAAGGGATGAAGGGGGCGGAGCGATAGTCGTTCACAAATTCGTGTGCGTGCATCTGGCAAGTGCGTCAATGGAGCTGGTAACTGCGCAAGGAATGTGTTACCCTATTTTTTCTAACCATTTCTTCAACTGCATTTAGTTCTCTTTCGTACCTTTCAAATTGCCACCCTTTTCTTGCAGAGAGCAGAGGAAAGGCACCGCTATAGTCACTCACCAGGAACAAAATTCCGAGCTCGCTCAGCGCCTTGACGTCGGTGATGTTCCGAATGAGCCCCAACTCGTTAAGAGCAACTCCCGATAGAAGAAATCCGAGAATCTGCAACGCACCAGAGCCCGAAACGTATGAGGATAAACGGCGGAGATAGGAACCAAGGCACACGAGGGGGTCAACATTGTGAGGGAATCAAATCAAACAGAGCCGCAAGCTTCATAAAGGCTCGCTGTTCGCTTTTCTGTCTGGTGGAGTTACGCAGTGAGTGAGACTCTCCGTCCCGCCTTACCGGGCTTATTTTGAGGCTCTTAAATGCGGGGATGACAATAACGGTGGCCACCAGGAACGTGAGTGTATCGAGCCCCAGCGACCCAATCACATCGTACGCCGCATTCGAGCCTATCTCGGGACCCACAGCTTGCACCACCACTCTTCTTCGCGCACCAACTTTCCCCGCCCCTCTACGTCCCCCGAATCCGTCCCCTCCTGTTCTCCGAAGCCCCGGCCCCACCCCCATCCCTTTGAGGAAAGGCCTGTTTGCAACCCCAACGCCTCCTTGCGACAAAATCCCATTCCGCGTTCCCTGGTTGCTCCGCGCACATGCGGAGTTTCCCCTCGTGTCAACATTCTTCCCCGCGGTTAGAAATCCCCCACGTGCGGGTAAGGAGAGCGGATTTGGGGCGCGCGCGGAAGACGACACGCAAAAAATGGCGGAGCGGCGATGGCGGCTGCTGTTGCCGCAACAGGCGCTGGTCTCAGCTCCCACGGTGCCGCGGGAAAATCCGCTGCCGCTCCGAACGGAAGCTCCGCTGAGGGAAAATCGCGCCTGCTCGTAGGTAGGCGGGGAGGCTGGGCTTGCGGTGCTCCATGAGATAAGGGATACGCGGGAAGGGGGGATTGAAGGGAACCGAGGAAAAGGAGGGGAAGTTGAGACGGCGGAGGGTCTACAGCACCGTTGGCGGGGCACGGTGCTGTTGAGGGGGTGCATACGTGGGGATAGCGGGGTCGCTGTTGGCGCGTACAGCGAGGAGCGGGCAAGCACAGGCGACATCAGTTTGACGAAGTGTACGGTTGGCGACGAAGAATGTGAGATTTCCTCGCGCAAAGTTCGAATGAAGGAGCTTTACCCCGTCGGGACGGCGGATATCTGAGGTGTTCGGGCAAAAGCCGGACGCTCACGGACTAGTGAAACGTGATGTGTGTCCGTTGGTACCTGCAGCACCGAACGTCTTCGTGCGGGGTCTAAACTCAAATCTGCTAGGCAGCTCTTGGAAAATGTGGTGGGTGAGACCCACGACTGGCTCGAATGGCCTGTGCTCAGCTTGGTCGATACTGGCGCAATCTTGGACAAAACTTAGGTAGTACGTCTGTAGATAGGCGAAATGTGGTCAGGAAGGGGCTGTGCAGCCGAGGAAGGGAATGGATGTGGGAACATTGGGGGGAAGAGCCCTGGCCGTCAATTCGGGATGCTTCTAAATTTGGAGGTTGGACTTCCAACGATGACTGGTTTGCTTGCACCAAGGCAGCAGCTTGGCTCCCAATTTCTTACCTCCGTCCCTTTTTTATGAAATGCAGGTGATGACAAGAATTTCCAAATTTGTACCGTTCGGCCTTCTTGCAGGTACACTTATATTTTCGGTTGGTTTCCGGGCCTGACATACAAAATCACAGGTCATGTAAGCTGACCGAACAAACGAGATTTAAGGAAACACTGACCTAATAAAATAATGCTTACCTTCGTAGATCTCACGTGGCAACCTACCAGCCAATCAACTGCGAACAAACCATATGGCGATATTCGATTGGTAGATCGAAATGGTTCCACGTTATCGTGGACGAGGTGTTTTCTGGTCGTCAAAATTCATGGACGCCACATCAGTTCAAGATGTCCGCTTCGCCCCTTCTTTGAATTCTGCTCCTTGTTCAATTGTTTGAGGTGATCTTTCGCGGGTCCCGAAACAGACTCCGATGTAAGCATGTTTGCTTGCAATAAGCCGACTGTAACTGCAGATATCATATTCTTTCTTGGCAAATGTGGAGATAGAATAGAATTTTCCTGCACACATTTTCCATTAATAACAAGGAAAATGACAAGCCATCACCTAAACACTATCTTCTAGCGAATGCGGCTGATGTGTTTTAATTGCCGGCATCGGCATCGGCAACTGCAACTGCCACCATGTGCTCAATGAGGTCAATGACACGATTGCTGCATACATAGTCAACGGAAGGGTATGGTTAGGTAGAGTCCTTGCAGCACAAGGAAATAGAATGCGGCAAAAAAAACGCCATTTTCATTACCTGTAGCCCCACTCGTTGTCGTACCACGACACCAGCTTCACGAAGTTAGGAGTGAGAGCAATCCCTGCCTTGGCATCGAAAATGCTCGACCTGCAAGGCTCAGAAACGTTCATCAGATGCAAAGCTTGACATAATGAAGAGGCGCAAACAGAACATTGCTAGGAATTCTGTAATTACCTGGGGTCACCCAAAAAGTCAGTGGAGACCACATCGTCCTCAGTGTATCCAAGATAGCCCTTCAGAGGGCCCTCAGATGCAGCCCTGCACGTCAAGCACGTACACATATTAACAAATGTCCTTGCGAACCTCAGTGAAAGGAGCTAACGTTATGAGGAAGCACTCCGTACTTGATGGCTGCCTTGATGTCATCGTAGCTGGCTCCCTTCTCCAGGCGAACAGTGAGGTCAACCACCGACACGTCAGGAGTGGGCACACGGAAGGCCATGCCAGTGAGCTTGCCGTTCAGGGCAGGAAGGACCTTGCCCACAGCCTGCATTTGCAAAAACAAATCACAGTCATTGAGCTGCTATTCCTGACCACGCATTCACATCGTCCGCTTGTGAACCAACATGCACTTGCCATACGCAGTAAATAACAACCCAGACGCCTTCTTACCTTGGCTGCACCAGTGGAGCTAGGAATAATGTTCTGCGCTGCTCCACGGCCGCCACGCCAGTCCTTGGCTGATGGCGCATCAACAGGCTTCTGCGTGGCTGCAACACAAAAGGAAATCATGGCAAGCGTAAGGCCACGAACACTCCGAGCATGGAAGCGAAGGCGTCGCTTTCTGCCATATACTGACCTGTGACAGCGTGAACGGTGGTCATAAGGCCCTCGAGAATGCCAAACCTGTTTCGGATGATTTTTTAACCAACAGCACATTAGGGAACCGCGTATTCTTGGTACGACATGACTGTTTAGGGTGATATTGGACCTTAAATTTATGTAGGGTTACTTTACCTTGGCGAGCGGAGCCAGGCAGTTGGTGGTGCAGCTGGCGTTGGAGACAACGTTCATGCTAGGAAGGTACTTCTCGTCGTTGACTCCCATCACGAACATGGGAGCGTCTGCTGAAGGAGCCGAGATCACAACCTTCTTCGCACCAGCCTTGATATGGGCCTCGGCCTTGTCGATAGTGGTAAAAACACCTGCACGCACAATAACGAAAGTACGTTGCTCACTACACCGTCTTTTGAGTCGTTAAGAGGAAACACATTCAAATCCCCTACCTGTGGACTCAACCACGAAGTCGACACCAGATTCACCCCAGGGAATCTCAGTTGGGTCCCTGCACATGAAAAGGACCGGTGAGCGTAAGCAATTTTGCTGATTATCACATGAATCCGGGATGCAAAACGATCGGAGACTAGATACTGACCTCTTTCCGAAGACAGCGATGGTTTGTCCGTCAATGTTGATGGCGTTCGCGCCCTCAGCGTGAATTTCGCCGGGGTATGTGCCATGGGAGCTATCGTAGCGGAACATGTAAGCCTGAGGAGTGGAAATCGTTACAGGAACGAGTCAGCACATTCCAACGCTGAATAACAATGTGGCAAAACGAAAGATAAATATGGCAAATGATGACGACAACAAGAAGTCATGGAATCTTCATGTGAACATACCATGTAGTCAGTGTCAATGAACGGGTCGTTGATACCAACGACCTCCACATCAGGCCTGGCCAGAGCAACGCGAAGAACAAGACGACCGATGCGACCGAAACCTGAGAAGGTAACGGTAGATGTTAGCATTCAGGTTGTGTTAAGGAAAGCACACATGCCGACATACAATCGAACTGATTACAGTCCATCACTAAGACATACCATTGATTCCGATGCGGATCTTGTTCTTGCTCTTGGAAGCTGTCACAGTAAACACATGAGGTTGTTAGAGAGTGGTCATGAGACGGTTTCGCTCCACCTAGATCCTTTAAAATGACTCACCAGAGTCAGTGGGTGGTTTCTCCGTCGCAATAGCAGCCCTGGTTGCGACGCATCTCGACGCCTTCGTTGCCTTCAAGGGCTTGCATGAGCCCACGGGACTGTTGTTCACGCAGAACGACCGAGAAAAGGCCTGATAAGGTAACAAGACACATTGGAATTGTCAGCAACAGAAGTGAAGAACGTGTGCGAGAAAAAAGCGGGTTTAGCGGCATCCAGAGGTTGTTCCCTATGTCGCGATCGAGCTTACCAGCTCGGTGGCATTGCTGGCTTCAGCAACAGTCCTCTTCTCAGATGCCTTCAACACGGTAGGCACGCGTGCGGAGAGCGAGATCGCGGTGGCCATTGTCACGATCGACGGATACTCTGCTCGCTAATAAACGTGGAGAAAGGTGGAGGTCAACAGAAGTGTCGAGTGCGCAAACTGATAATAAAAATTCGGGTTCCTTGAGTTATACCTGCTCGCCAGAGTGCCGATGGATGGGATGGACTATTGAGTTTTTCCAACCTTCCGAGTTGCTTGCACGAGAGTGTGAATTCCAACATCTGCTTGGAAGTGAAGACACCGCATCGAACGGCTCACATTCAATGTTATGACCTTGTAACCAGGGGAGCATAGTCGAGTGCAATCAGGCGACCCGATCACATCAAAAACTGCTCGTGCGTTGAGGGCTATTGGTGCAGGAAATCGTGTTACATTTCGCTTACGTGGAATGCCGCTTTTGGTGGTCCAATGTCCCTTTTGCTGGACACATGCCGCTTTTTGAATGCACGGGTGCGGCGGCAAGCTGGGACGTTCGAGTGCCGTGATTCGATATTTTTCTGGGAGCTCCGAAGGACGTGGGAGCTGACTTGGACATCACTGAGTGGACGACAGCAATTATCTCGTTGTGAAAGTGGATTCTTCCTATGTCGTCAAATATTTTCCTACTGCTAGATCTATGATGAAAACAATCCAATAAAACGTCAAGCATGCCAATGTCGAGGACAACGGATTTGACTTGGGTGCTGAGCTGACACAGGCAATCCCAAGGTCGGACATTTAGGAGGTTCACCACACACTTCCAGCACTCATACTCGTGTCTTCATGTACATGACTCGTTACCTCCGCTAAATGCGCCCAGGTCTCTTTTCCAAGCGCTGCGTTTCCCGCCATGAATTCAGGTCTCACGACATGGCTCGAGGTGAATCGCCCACATTGCGTCGGTGACCAGTAACTTCAGCATCTACTCGACAAATGCAAAATACTAATCCCGTTCCTTTCCGTTTCAGGAACACGGTACTCGCATTTCCGGCTGCGAGATTCGTGAATGCTTTTCAAAACCTTCGCCATCCGTCGCGTCATTGGCCTCCGTGTCATCTGAATCCAGAATCGCTACGACTGGTTCACGCGTACCAGGGGATGACACGACCTGTGGTCGAGCAGCGTTCGCGAGTGAATCGCATGCTCGTGCAAGCGACGCAGCGGCTGGGGATTTAGCAACCAGGGAGGTTGAAGCTGAGGCTGCAGAAGCAGAGCTTCTTACGGGTGATCATGCTTCAGCCAGTGCGGGATTTGGCGTTTTCCTGTCCAGATCGGATAAGGATGAGAGAACGTACACCGTCGATGGAGGTCTGTCCACGTGACTTGCTTTCATGCGAATTGCCGAGATTAAATGATTGCTCAACTCCTTGTGATTCTGCACTTTCTGTGACCTTCACAATTCTGGTGCCAATCCTCCACCAACGAGTCTCTGCTTCTACCATCCTGTTCTCCCTCTGTTTCGCCCTTCCCAAGGTCCAGGCTTTTACCAACTCCTATTTCTCCCATTCCTTCCCATTCTCTCCCACTCACCCCAATCCTCTTGGGTCATCCCCAACACAAGCAGACAATTATCTCATGCCGTTATAAAAACTGACTGTTGAGTCGACTCACCCAGTCACCCTGATTTGCACTCTCCCCCATCCCCTTACGACATCCCCCTATGACTTCCCCCACACCCACAGACGCAGTGCTCATCTCCGTGCCGCTGTCTCTCCTCCTCTCCGCACCCACCGCCCTGCAAGACCCTATCTACGGCGCCTCCCTGCGCCGCCTGCACTCCCAGGGCCTGCTGGACCACCGCATGCTCGTGCTCCTCCTGCTGCTGCTGCACCGGTACCACCAGAAAGACCGCTCCTTCTGGGATCCGTAGATCATATGCGACTTGAAGCGAGTTTTGTAAGAACCCAACAACATCGCTTGCTACTGCACTGTTGCCACCAGCAAAACCTCTTGCTCTGGGCTCCGTAAGTCCTCAAGAGCCTGACTCAACTCAGGGTTTTCAGAAATAATCTGAGAGATCACCAGTGACTACACTGCTGGCACTGGAGATGTGCCTCCCTTAGGGATTTACGTCGTGCCTGACTCCCTCACAAACCCGCACTTGCGCTTTCCTCTCCCCCCTGGCCTGCGTTATGCACTGGCCTGCAGCTACCTCTCCTGTCCTGCTCGCCTCACCCATCAACCCGCACTTGCCCTTTCCTCTCTTCTGTGACCCGGCCCATGCACATGCCTGCAGCTACCTCTCTTGCCTGCCGCAATCCTTTGACTCGCCTCTCTGGTTCGACCAGGCCACGTTGGAGGAGCTGCGAGGTGGGAATTTCTCCCTTCTTGCCTTGCCCAGGAACCCATACTTGCCTTTTCCTCTCTTCCGCCCCACGCTCCTGCCTGCAGCTACCTCTCCTGTTTACCACAGTGCTTTGACTCGCCTCTGTGGTTCGACCAGGCCACGTTGGAGGAGCTGCGAGGCACTCCTCTGTACGACGCTGCATGTGCGCAGGTAAACTGCGTGAGTACAGGTAACCCTGTAAGAGTGCAGAGTGCAATGTAACCCTGGGAGAGGAGCAGGTGGAACCGATTGTTACGGCTGCGGTGGGCGGACTAATCAGAGAGTGCCAGAACACGTCCGATTCTGGTTTCTCTGCCCCGCATGTTTCCAAATGCGTCTGCACCTTCAGAGGGCCAACTTGAGGCGTGTGTACGAGGAGCAGGTGGAGCCAATCTTTGCTGCTGTGGTGGGCTAACTTCAACAACACATCTGACTGTGTCTTCTCTACTCTGCGTGTCTCCATATTCAAATCCCCCGCACCTTCAGAGGGCCAACTTGAGGCGTGTGTACGAGGAGCAGGTGGAGCCAATCTTTGCTGCTGTGGTGGGCTAACTTCAACAACACATCTGACTGTGTCTTCTCTACTCTGCGTGTCTCCATATTCAAATCCCCCGCACCTTCAGAGGGCCAACTTGAGGCGTGTGTACGAGGAGCAGGTGGAGCCAATCTTTGCTGCTGTGGTGGGCTAACTTCAACAACACATCTGACTGTGTCTTCTCTACTCTGCGTGTCTCCATATTCAAATCCCCCGCACCTTCAGAGGGCCAACTTGAGGCGTGTGTACGAGGAGCAGGTGGAGCCAATCTTTGCTGCTGTGGTGGGCTAACTTCAACAACACATCTGACTGTGTCTTCTCTACTCTGCGTGTCTCCATATTCAAATCCCCCGCACCTTCAGAGGGCCAACTTGAGGCGTGTGTACGAGGAGCAGGTGGAGCCAATCTTTGCTGCTGTGGTGGGCTAACTTCAACAACACATCTGACTGTGTCTTCTCTACTCTGCGTGTCTCCATATTCAAATCCCCCGCACCTTCAGAGGGCCAACTTGAGGCGTGTGTACGAGGAGCAGGTGGAGCCAATCTTTGCTGCTGTGGTGGGCTAACTTCAACAACACATCTGACTGTGTCTTCTCTACTCTGCGTGTCTCCATATTCAAATCCCCCGCACCTTCAGAGGGCCAACTTGAGGCGTGTGTACGAGGAGCAGGTGGAGCCAATCTTTGCTGCTGTGGTGGGCTAACTTCAACAACACATCTGACTGTGTCTTCTCTACTCTGCGTGTCTCCATATTCAAATCCCCCGCACCTTCAGAGGGCCAACTTGAGGCGTGTGTACGAGGAGCAGGTGGAGCCAATCTTTGCTGCTGTGGTGGGCTAACTTCAACAACACATCTGACTGTGTCTTCTCTACTCTGCGTGTCTCCATATTCAAATCCCCCGCACCTTCAGAGGGCCAACTTGAGGCGTGTGTACGAGGAGCAGGTGGAGCCAATCTTTGCTGCTGTGGTGGGCTAACTTCAACAACACATCTGACTGTGTCTTCTCTACTCTGCGTGTCTCCATATTCAAATCCCCCGCACCTTCAGAGGGCCAACTTGAGGCGTGTGTACGAGGAGCAGGTGGAGCCAATCTTTGCTGCTGTGGTGGGCTAACTTCAACAACACATCTGACTGTGTCTTCTCTACTCTGCGTGTCTCCATATTCAAATCCCCCGCACCTTCAGAGGGCCAACTTGAGGCGTGTGTACGAGGAGCAGGTGGAGCCAATCTTTGCTGCTGTGGTGGGCTTCAACAACACATCTGACTGTGTCTTCTCTACTCTGCGTGTCTCCATATTCAAATCCCCCGCACCTTCAGAGGGCCAACTTGAGGCGTGTGTACAAGGAGCAGGTGGAGCCGATCTTTGCTGCTGTGGTGGCCGAAGCAGAGGGGGAGCAGGGGAGTGGCGATGCCTCCTGCTGCATCTCCTTGGACGATTTCCTCTGGTACGAGAACGAGTAGTCGTCTGTTGCGTTTCTCTTCGCGCTCTTCCTCTTGATTTTCTGCCTCTCACGCAGCGCCTCCTTTCTCTCTGCCCTCACTTCCCTCCCCCCACTGGCCACTGCACTCTTCCTCTCCTTCGACTTGCCCCTTGCCTTGGTTCCTAACTTCATCCTCCCTGCAAGTCCTGCATGACTCTTCTGCTGCTGCTGCTGCTGCTGCTGCTGCTGCTGCTGCTGCTGCTGCTGCTGCTGCTGCTGCTGCTGCTGCTGCTGCTGCTGCTGCCGCTGCTGCTGCCGCTGCTGCTTGTGACACCACTCCTCTGTAGTCCACTCCACATCACACTGTCTAGAGGCGATTGTCCCAGGAGTTGACTTCTGCAACCACTGTACGTCACTTCACCTTCCCTCCCTCCCCAGTTGCTCTCCACAGTTCCTTGTTGACTTTGTAACTAGAAAACTAATCAAGAAAAACCAACCCCACTGACACTGTCCTATTTGAACCTTTCCCTTCTCTCCTGGTCTCTTTCCCTTCTAATTTTCTGTTCCGCCCTTCAGCCCTGCTACCCTGTGCTCGGTGGGAGATCCTCACAGCTGACCAGCTCACCCGCTCTAATGGGAAGAACGGCAGTGGGGAAGAAGACCGTGGGAAGGGACAAGAGACAGGGAGGGGAGATGGAGCAGTAGCAGGTTCAGCGTCAGTCGCACAGCCACTTCAACAGATGCCCGATTCTGATGCTGTGTGCTTGCTGCAAGGTGATGCTCCTAGAGAGTGAGTTTCTATGCATTGCGTCTTAAAGGCCGAGACCTGAATTGCAAAGTTGGGAGGCAATCTGGTGACAGTTGACTTCTGAGTCGCCTCAAAAGTCACAAAGTTGGGAGGCAATCTGGTGACAGTTGACTTCTGAGTCGCCTCAAAAGTCACAAAGTTGGGAGGCAATCTGGTGACAGTTGACTTCTGAGTCGCCTCAAAAGTCACAAAGTTGGGAGGCAATCTGGTGACAGTTGACTTCTGAGTCGCCTCAAAAGTCACAAAGTTGGGAGGCAATCTGGTGACAGTTTACTTCTGAGTCGCCTCAAAAGTCACAAAGTTGGGAGGCAATCTGGTGACACTTTGCCTCCACCAGTCACTGGGTTCTGAACACGTTATTTTTCCGATTCCTTGCCGAACCTCCTGGGGTCTCAACTGGCAGTGCAGCACTGAAAAGTGCCAATTCTCAGGCAGATCTGCCATACCCTTTACCCACAGCACCTTCCTGCTCCCAGCCGTCTCTTCCCTCTCCTTCACACTCCTGTGCTCTGCAAAGTGCCTTTTCGGGGGCGTCAGCACTCTTGGGGCGCCTCGAAAAAACATCTCTGGTCCTCCTCCCTCACACTCGTCTGCACCCCCTTACCACCCTCCTCGACCCACACCGCCATGCAGTGGTGCCTCCTGTAGGGGGCAACGAGGTTACCATCAGCTACGGGGAGAAGGGCAACGAGGTTAGTAAGTGCATGTGGGGGATCATTTGTTCCCTGTTTGGGTGACACACGCTGTTTGTTGTGTGGATGGTAAGTCTCTGTAATGTGATCTTCGGGTGGAATGAGTCGTGTTTTGAGTCGACTCAAAACGTGACACACGCTGTTTGCTGTGTGGATGGTAAGTATCCATAATGTGAGCTCGGATGGTATAGTGTGCATGTTGGGTGGTCGCATGTGGGTGGTGTCATGTGTAGTTGTCCCCAAGTGATTCCACACGTTCACTTTCCCCCTCCTTCCTCCCTCCCTCTCTCCCTTCCTTCCTCGCACCACCTTCCCTCCGCGCCACTCTCTCACACCAGGAGCTTCTGTTTCTCTATGGCTTTGCCATTCGCAACAACCCCCACGAGTGCCTTATGGTGTGTACCCCTTACATACCACTTCTTTTTATAGACATGCATCTGCCCCACTCCACACACCTCTGCCCCTGCGTCTCCCCTGCCCGTCTGCTGCACTATCCATCCATACGTCCTGCATACTGCTTTCCCCCTTGCAGTTCCTCTCCCCTCTATCCACTCACATCCTCGCTTCGCCTGCCTTTCCACTTACCGCACCCGCTTTCCCGATTCCTTCTCATTTTTCTTTCCTTATCCCTTTCCCCCTCCTAGTCCTTTTCCTTTGCCTTTTTCACTTCTCACCGCTCCTCCTTTTCGTCCACTCCCATTGCCCTGCCATGCCCACCAGCTCAACTACCCCCCGGCTCAGCTCCAGGAAGACCCATGCGCCGACACCAAGCTACAGCTCTTGGCCGTGCAGGTATAAACGAATCAGCTGCTAACGAATCATGTACTGACACAAGTCAGCCACTGATCATACAGGTCCCGGGCTTCTCTTTTACATCCCACAGTTCTTCTTAAACAATCGTCCCGGAGCGATTATGAACTTGATTGTAACAATCCTTTTGCCAGTCCCCTCCTCTCGTCTACCTCTGTGATCATGCTTCTTCCCCCTTATAGGACCTCTCGCTACAATGGATCATTCCGCGTTCCTCCAAGTATCCCAACGATCATCTTCAATATGGTGGTGCTTCATCTGCCAGGACTAGGAAGGAGCAGGGGCAAGAGGAGAGGCAGAGGCAGGAGGAGACGCAGGGGCAGGAGGACAAGAAGGATCAGGAGGAAACGCTGGGGCAGGAGGAAAATCAGGGGCAGGAGGAGAAGTTGGGGCAGGAGAAAAGGCAGGGGCAGCAGGTGCTTCAACATAAGCAAGTGCAGCACGGGCAGCAGAATGAGGAGGAGGGTGAGGGGGAGCAGGAGGAGAGTGACCATGGGGGTGTTTTTCCCCCCGGCATGATGGCAGCACTTCGAGTGCTCTCACTCACAGTAGCCCAGGTGGAGGCTGCCACCTCAGCACTTCTGGAGGTACGTGTTGCTGACGTGGAGTACAGCATGCATATGCCACGTGGCATGTATGGCATGTGCGGCATCTGTTGCACCTGCCCTGTTAGTAACCTAAGAGGTTGTTTGCTGTTACCACAAAACCGCCCTGGTTCCTCTTTGTTAGCCTTTAATCCCTGCAGACGCACGGGATGCAGTGAGGGAGGCAGCAGGGGGAGATGCACAGGCGCTGCTGCTGTGCTGCAACAGCGACAAAACGACCCATCACCACCCATCTACATCCCTTCCGTTCCTCCCCACATCACAGCGCAAGGCAGCATTAGGGGCGGGGTGTCTAAGCCCTGCAGATGCGGGGGAGGCAGTGAGGGAGGCAGCAAGGGGAGATGCACAGGCGCTACTGCTGCTACTGCAACAGCGACAAAGCCACCCATCACCACCCATCTACATCCCTTCCCTTCCTCCCTACATCACAGCAGAAGGCCGCAGCAGGGGCGGAGACTCTGAGCCCAGCCGATGCCAGGGAGGCAGTGAGAGAGGCAGCTGGGGGGGATGGACAGGCGCTACTGCTGCTGCAACAGCTGCTGCAGCAACGGTGAGGGCTCGTGGGTCAGGCATGGAAAGTGGAGGCATCAGGCATGAATCATGATTAGTCTAGGGTCAGGCATAATGAGTCACAGGGACAGGCAGGATGAGTCTAGGGCAAACAGACGGTGAAGTTAAGGGATGGTGATGTTGTATTTTAAGTCTCGGATGTTCGCATGCAAACTTGATTTTCTCTCTCTCTTTCTCTTGATCCTCCTCACTCTCTCACCTGCACTTTCTCACTCTCTTTCCTGCTCTTTCTCACTCTGCCGTTTTTCACACTCTCATGTCACACCTCACGTCCTCCCCTGTCTCTCCTTGCAGGCTTGAGAGCATGCTGCAACGCACGGGCACTGCTGAAGAGGACACTGCATGGCTTGATATACATACAGGCACTGATGAGCAGGACAGGAGGTGGGCAGGGTGTGGTGGGCATGGTGTGGTGGGCAGGGTGTGGTGGGTAGGGCGAGGTGGGCAGGGTGTGGTGGGTATGGGTCGAAGCATGCTATGGTGGGCATTGGATGGGGCATGCTGTGGTTGCCACGGTTGGTTGCACGTGTGCGCATTGGTAGGCAGGATAAGAGGAATGCATGGCATAGTGTCCGCACCGCACGAGGTGTTAAGCCCCGATCCAGCATGTGCGAGCATGTCCATGTGCCGGGCCGGTGTGTGCATTCCATCCCACTCACATGCACCCTTCTGTGCATGCATGTGTGCAGCACCAGACTCTCTGTGCAGCTTATTGCGTGGTTTCGAGATTCTACCACATTTCAAGTTCCATCTGCTGCGTTGAATTGACTTGTTCTGTGAGATGACTGTTGAGTCAACCCAAAAGCACCAGACTCTCTGTGCACCTTATTGCATGGTTTCAAGCTTCTACCATATTTTAAGTTCCATCTGCAGCAGTGGCATGACTTTGTACTGTGAGCACCCTCCCCTCTCCATTATGCGTCTCTGTGCAGCACGCGGCACAAAGCTCTCTGTGTGGTCTGTCGCCTGGGTCAGAAGCTGCTGGCTCAAGAGCTGCTCACACGAGTTCCAACCCTATCAGCTTGACTTGTACTATGTGGCCCCGCTCTCTTCATACTCATCTCATCCCTCTCTGCACCATGCGGCACAAGACTATCTCTGTGGTCTATCGCCTGGGTCAGAAGCTGCTGGCTCAAGGGCTGCTCACACGCGTTTCCACATGCCTCTGTCAGAAGCAGTAGCCGTTGTCACGCTGGCTGCTGTTTCACCTCATCTGGAATGGACCCTGCATTTAAGTTCACGTGAAAAGCCTGTGGCACATCTGAGCTAAGCACTCCCCTTCCAAACACACCCATACCAGCAACATCCGTAGCAGCCCATGCCATCTCATCCATTGGCTCTATCACACACCCACGCAACCCTCTCCCACGCAACCAACACCCACGCAACCCTTTCCCACGCAATCACGGCCCCATCCCATGCATTCACATCTCATGCACTCACATCCCATACAGTCACAGCCCCCACCCCCTCCCTGCTCGCCCTTCGCTACATAACCGCTTTAGAGGAGCGAAACCGCATCTCGGCTGCCAAGCTCTCCCAGTCCGCCCTCTCAGTGTCCCCCCACGCCCAACACTTAGCCCTCAAATCACCTCAGTGTCCCTCTCAGTGTCTGGTAGGCAAGGGAATGGGCATGACAGCCCTCTCGGTGCCTCTGCTCCGAAGGGTGCTTCTGTGTCTGATGGTATGATTACAGAGTCATTTCGAGCAGGGGCAGGGGTTGGTGGTGGTGTTATGGCACGATACTGGGAAGATGACTTGTGGTTTGTAAGGTGTCATTTGCTGACTTCAGTATAGATTGCTTGTAGCTTGGCAGCACAGCAGCCCTGTTGGTGCATCTGCTCACCACATTGTGCTGTTGCTATCAGGCTGGCAGGGTATGATAGGAGGGTAGCAGGGGCTGTTTATAGCATGATGTGATACCAGGTCGTGCAATGTGACACAAATAGCTGAAGTACTTAGAATAGGCTTTCTGCACACGAATGTCCCACCAAAAGAAAGATCCAGGTAATAACCTTCACCCAAGAACATAGCAGCTAATATCGGGCTTGTTATAGTCACAATAGGCTTGAATGTGCTTAAAACGAAAGATAGAGAGCACAGACGGATTTCTGCACAGCGGCTTCAAACGTTGATAGCGTTCTGCTCACAGCTGCAAATGACTTGATTCAAATTGGATCTGGAGCGTCTTCACGTCGTCTACAATTATCAATTTAGATTTCACGATTTGATAAAGAATTGACGACACAGCGTTGGCTTGAACGAACGGTACTATGGCAGCCACTATAGTCTTAGAACACAAGATAGGAAGAGTTACGAGTTGGGAATGACTCCCAGCTCCAACAAACCCCAAGAGCCGAGGTACAACGATGTGGAACAGTGCCACACTGTCCCCAACCACGAAGGGTCTCGAAACTACCCTTCACTAGGGCCTACACCAAGTGAAATGTTACACTACACAAAGTAATGTAACTATCTTCAATATCTTGAGGTGTACCCTTTTGGCGAGCTTCGAAATCACTTGAGGCTTGACACCAAGGCTCGGGCTCTTCATCACAAACTCATCCTTGAGTTCTTGATGGGTCTGCTGCACACACCTGCGACACGCCGAACGTTCGACACAGGACAAAATAGAAACCGCGCACGACAAAATAGAAACCGCGCGCGAGACACAAACGACCGCGTAACACGCGTCTAGCGATAACTCGCTAGTGACTCGACACACACACTCGACATCATGACTCAACATTCACACACAATTATAAGCTTGAAATATATATTATCCCATGCCCTCATACCATTCCATACACACACACATTCACGCACACGGACAACAAGCCGAGTGCAAACCGTAGGGTTGCACCAACAGGGCTCATGTGATATACTATTTGTTGCGATCAGAAAGTTGATCGTGACCAGGATCACCTCAGGAAGGTTCGCACACTTCTAATCTAGTGGTGGTGGGCCCTTGACCTCAATAGCAGAGTGAATGTAAATGCTTGAGATGATAAAAACGTGCAATACAAAGGATATAAATAGGAGTACAGAGGAATACGAAGCGACCTAGCTAGCCATGTACTCTAAGGGGTACATTCCCTTATTACAGCGAAATCCAACCGTGCGACTCCGGGTGGTTACGGAACTGTTCGGGCAGAATCCTCGCCACTGCTGCTGCCTGATGTTGTCTGCCCGACGGTCCAGATGCTCCTCGTAACCGCCTGTCCCTTCGCATTTCTTCTGCCTTTTCGCCTTCGCTCTCGATAGTGCGTGCTTCGATTGTGCTACGGTGAGGAGTGCTCAATAGTGTTTTCACTAACCACTATTCGTAACACCCCCCTTCACTCCTGGCCGTAGCGAGCATTGACCCGCTTGACTACCCCGCTGAGTTCGGAGCAGTGCTGGTACTGTTGACGCGGCAGTTTCTTCGTGAGGAAGTCAGCTGCCATGTCACCCGTTGGGCAGTATGTCAGGTCAACTTTGCCCTTGTCAACTTCGTCCTTGACGAAGAAGTACCGCAGTGCGATGTGCTTGGTGCGGTTGACGAAGCCAGGTTTGTTCGCGATCCTGATCGCGCTCTGGTTGTCGCAGTGCAGGCGAAAGTTCGTTGAGGACGGAATTTTCGCTTCCTGCAGCAGTTCCTGAAGGTAGAGACCTTCGCGAACAGCTGCTGTTGCTGCGATGAATTCAGCTTCCGCTGATGACAGGGCAACCAACTCCTGCTTCTGAGAGTTCCAGGAGATGGGGCCGCTGGGCTCGAGGCGGAAGAGGAATCCTGTCCTGGACCGTCGATTGTTAGGATCAGCGGCGTGATCGGCATCCACGTAGCCGACGAGGCTGAAGAATGTGGTTGGGATGGTGGAGTAACTGAGCCCGACATTGGGTGTGGAGACGAAGAATTGAAGGGCTCGCTGAAGATCTGAGAGGTTCTCAGCCGTTGGTTTGCGCGAGTACTGAGCCAACTGGCTTGCGATGTAGGAGAGATCGGGCCTGCAGGTGACAGATGCGAAAAGCAGGCACCCCAACTGCTGCTGGTAAGTGTGAAGCCCAGCAGGGGACAGGGCTTTGTTGTCAGGCTTGTGGTTGGGTCCTGGAGTGCGGTAAGGGGTGGAGAGTGGTGCAGGCGCAATGTTGAAGCGCTTGCTAAGCTCCTCCGCATACTTCGCTGCTGAGAGATGAATGGCTTCCGGCGAGTAGGTGATGTTGAGTCCGAGAAACTGCTTCACGTCATGATTGCAGGTGATGTCGACGCGCCCTGCGAGGCTTTTCTCGAATTGCTCAAGCAGTTCGTTGCTTGACCCTGTGTAGAGGAGGTCGTCGACGTAGACCGTGAGCAGGATGTATTCGCCGCGGAAATCGCGGCGATACATCCCAGGATCGTGGGGCAGCTGCTTGAACCCGATTTCAAGCAGTATGTTGTGCAGGTACTTCTGCCAGAGCCTTGGTGCCTGTTTGATCCCATAGAGGGACTTGCGCAGCTGGCAGACGCGTGGGTCTCCGTCGCCGTATATGTGTGGCTGTTCCACGTAAATCACGGCGTCCACTAACGCGTATAGGAACGCATTCTTCACATCGATCTGTCGGAGTGGTAGGTGTCGTGCGGCTGCGATGGCGAGCAGAATTCTGACGGACGTGTGACGGCTGACCGGTGCAAATGTCTGGTCGAAATCAATCCCGTGCCTCTGATTGTAGCCACGCACCACCCAGCGCGCCTTGAAGCGCTCAATCGTCCCGTCAGCTCTTGTCTTCACGCGGAAAACCCATTTCCCGGAGAGAATCCTTCTCCCCTTAACTGCTGCACGGTCGACGAGCACCCAGGTGTCGCGTGACTCGAGCGCTCGGATTTCTGCATCCATTGCTTCGCGCCACTCCTTGCTGTGTGGGCTTGTGAGAGCCTATCGTGGGTTCTTAGGCTCGATGATGCGCGGAGCAGGGGAGACGGCAGCGTGTAGTCCCAGGAGTTGAAGGCCAGTGATGGTGCTGTCATGGCGATGTTGGGTGACGACTTCCTGCACGTCGTCATCATCGCTTTCTGGTTCAGGCGGTGCTGGTGGTGCTGTGTCTCCGCCGCTTCCGCTTCCTCCTGCTGCACCTCCTCCCGCTGTGCCCGTTCCTCCTTCTCCTGAATCATCGTCGTCGTCGTCGCGGCGATCGCCCCTCGTGAACTCCCCTCTGGGATCTTGCTCCAGAATCTCCGCTGCAGCTTCGTCCTCAGGCGAAGCGTAGCTGTGGCCTTCGTTGGCGTAGACGCGGTTTGCGTTCGTTTGCTCGTCCTCACGGAATTGCTGCAGAAACAGCCGCTCGTAGAAAATAACGTCGCGCGCATTTTTGATTTTCTGGCTTAGGAGATCCAGGATGATCCACGCCTTGTGTTCGTGGCTGATGCCGAGGTGGATTCCCCAGCGCGCGCGGCTCTTAAACTTCCCGATGGTTGATGTTGGCGGTCGGTATTGAACCATGCACCCCCAGACACGGAGCATGGAGGTGTCTCCCTTCCTTCCTGTCCATTTCACATGCGGCGAGGAGTTGCCGGTGATTGCGGTGGTTGACAGCAAGTTGTGTACTCGCACGGCGTGGTGCATCGCGTAGGTCCAGTAGATCGGCGGGAGCTTCGCCTGCCGCATTAGCGCCCGCACCTTCGTCATGAGGGTGCGATTCGTGCGTTCTGCTACACCCTGCTGCTGATGCGCGTAGGGGAGAGAGATGTGATGCTCGATCCCCTTTTGCGCGAGTAAATTCTGCAGCTCCGTGCTCCTGAACTCCGCTGCGCCGTCGGACTGCCAGATCTTCAATTTCTCCCCAGATAGCCGCTGCGCGTGCGCCAGCCACAGGCGGAAAGCTTCGTAGGCTCTGCTGCGTGCTTCCACGTTTACGACCCATACGTGGCGTGTTCCGGCGTCGATGAAGGTGAGTGTGTAGAGCTCGTCGTTGATGCCGCAGTGACCTACGTTGAGGAAATCACTGTAAACCTTCTCTAGCTTGGCGTAGCGGTTGGTTCCTGGGTCGAGTAGGGGGAAGGGCTGGTGACTCAGCGCTGCTTCGGGGCAGACGGTGCATCTGCGCGGGTGAGTTCCTCCTGTCACTTCGGAGCCATCAGGGCGCAGCAGCGCGCCAGGTGCGAAGACGCCGGCTTCGATGCAGTTCTTCAGAGTCGTGCGCGAAGGGTGACCTAAGCGCTGATGCCAGATGGCATCGTCGGCGCAAAATCCGGAGGTGCGCATGTAGCGCGCAAGTGCAGCTGCGGGGTCTTCGTCAGGTGCAGATGCAGGTGTGGGAGCTGCTTCCTCATTCTCTTCTTCTTCCTCGTTCGCCGTCGTTAGCATGAGGGCGAGAAACTCTCTGTCGCGGATGATGGAGTAAGGGATATTGGTTCCGGGGATTGTGCCAGGGATGAATGTCGGTTCGCGCGGTTCAGGGGCAGGTCCGTAGACAGTGCGTCGCGGGGTGAGTGGTTCACTGCCCCAGTCGATGGTGTCCCAGGGGTCACTGCCGAAGGGGATGTCTGGTGGCGGAGGTCCTAGTGCAGGGCGGCGCGGAGGGCGTCCGAGAGGGACAATAGGAGGTTCGGCCTCAATTTGCGCAGGTTCCGCTTCCTCTTCCCCCCTTTGTTCCTCACGGAATGCTCCCCATCCGCTCGTTTCTCCGCCAGATGCGGCGCCCCATCCGCCTGTGTTGCCGCCGGTTGCGGCTCCCCAGCCGCCTGTGTCGCTTGTTCCCCAACCGCCAGCGCTCCCCCACCCCCCTTCATTGGAGGCGCTTTCCTCGTCCCAGGCGAGGGTTCCGCGTGCCTCGGTGAGGCTCTTCTGTCGAAGCTCTTCTGCTTCACGTTGCGCCAGTGCTTCTTTTTCTGAAGGCGAGAGCCGTTGCTTTGAATCGCGCCGGTGAGAGTATATCTCTGCCGCCTTCTGTTCGGTGTAGGGACGGGGATTCCCATGTGCGTCGAAGGTGCCGACGCCAACGCCGCGGAGCAATCCTTGGAGATGTTGGGATGCGGGTCCTGGAAGAGGGTGTTCCGGTGTGCCGAACACGACCCGTGTAGCTGTTTCTAACTCCAGCAGGGATAAACCCTCCTCAGGCGGTGCGTCGCGCTCTGCTTCGCGAATGGCGGCGAGGCTGCGGCCGGCGATCGCGCTCGTCGAGGTTGTCGGTGTGTGACAGTCCCTGCAGACGCCGTCAGGATCGGGGTCGTGCAGCGCCAGCTCGCGCGGGTGTGGGTGGTGTGCCACCCAGGGGCGCCCATCGGGGTGCTTCCAATCGCGGCGATGAATATGTTCGAAGCGCAGGGGAACGAGATCAATCAACTCCTGCGAGTCGCCGCTGCAGTCGAGAATGTCGAAGTCGAGAACGTAGACGCCGTTCTTGGCGCACGCCCGTCCGATCCGCTTGCGCGTCTTGTTCGGCATCGTGAAGTGAAGCAGGATGTCGCACGTCTCGGGGTCGGTGCTGAGGGTGACTCCGCAATCCAGGAGTTGCGCCGCCGAGAGTAGGTTGAAGCGGAGATTCTGCACGATCAACACATCATTCAGGGTGATGTGTGTTCTGCTTCCATGTGCCTTGAGCACAACAATGCCTTGCGCGCTTGCGCGTAGCCGCGTGGTGTTCGCCACTGTGACGTAAGTGACTTCGGGGGTGGCGATGGCGTTGGATATGTAACGCTCAGAGCCCACCATGTGCTGCCCACAGCAGCTGTCCAGGTACCAGTTGTTGTAGCGCCTGTTATCGTTTCGCGCGAGCAGCGCCAGTCGCGGAGTGACGATGTGCGGAGTGTCAACCTTCAAGAATTGTTCGCGTGCGATCCAGTCGATCGGTGCCGGCCGCATGTCAGGTACGTGCGGAGGGCTCTCAAGCAGCGGGACTGGGAGATTCCAGTCCTGGTTGTTGTCGTCGCTGAAGTCATGATGCGTGCTGAACGGATTGTTGTTCGGCGATGCTTCGATTGGGTCAGGCGCTAGCTCAGGTGAAAGTGAGCGTGCGCGCGGGCGACGGGAGCCGCTCGTCATGGTCATGTTCCCCATGACATTACGGACGGGGGCAGTCTGAGGTGACTGCTGCTGCTGAGTTGTCGGATTCAGGTTGCGCGATGGGGGTTGATACCCCTGGGCGGGACGCGTGTCGTTCCTCACGTCTTGTCTGCCGGACCAAGTGCTCGGATTGGTCTGACGAGGGCGAGATCGATGCTTGCATCGGTCCGCTAGATGCCCGAAATTCCTGCAGATTTTGCAGTAGAGGCGCCGTGGTCGTCGCTCTTCCGTGTTGTCTGCGTAGAAGGCGAGACGTTCTCTCTCTCGTCGTGGCGCTGGTCACTGCTGGTCCATATCCCGTTGTTCGACGAGGAGGGCGGCGCAAAGGGCGGCCTCCGAGATGACCCCCTGCTGTCGGAGCAGCGCCTTGCAGGGCCGCTACTCGGGGCCGAGCCCTTGGAGTACGATATTTACGAAGATTTCTTCAGAAATTGTACTCCCCAACTTCGCGATTTGATCGCGTAAGCTCCGACAGCGATTCAGATAGCTGTTGGCCTTCTCTCCTGGTGCCATCTTTGTCTCCAGTAGCTGCTGGAGCAGGCGGCTCGACGACACTGAGTCCTTGGGTTGGTACACACCGTTCAGGTGGCGCTAGGCGTTGAGGGCTGGAGCAGGGGAGGTTTTGTATGAGCGAATGCTCAACTGCTCCGTCGGCGACATGTTCCGCAGAAGAACCCCGTACGCCATCAGAGACTCGTTGTAGTACTTGGTTTTTGCGTCGTCAGTGTCTTCCGTAGGTCCCGAGTAGCTCCCGTCGAAATAATGATAAATCTGCGCGTTTTGCAGCAGCAGCTCCAGCTCGAAGCTCCAGGTATAGAAGTCTCTGCCGTCAAAGCACACACTTGTCTTTATTTTTGATATGCTCAAAAACCTTGATTGCGCAGAGAGAATTGCTTCATCGCTGGTTCAGGGAGTTTTGGGTGTTGAGCCGTTTGTGTCAAGAGAGAAGCCTTGCGGGGCGGAGTTCTGGCCGTTCGAGGCCGGTTGAGTGGGTTGGGAAGCTGTTCCCGCGTCGCCATTCCGCAATGTTTGGAGCCCTTGCTCCAGGCTCGTGAGTCGCTGAAGCAGTTGTGCGAGGACGACGGAAGGGATTGTCGTCGTGTCCTCGTTTGTCGCAGCTGGATTAGTCTGCGCTTCAGCCGTCAGATTCATCTGACCTCCAGACCCTCCGGCCATTCTCACACGTGAGCGTGTGCCGGACGCCACTTTCCGTTCGCCGAATATTTCGGTGGTGGCGGTGCGAAGGATTCCTGAGTCGCTCTCATACCATGTAGCGATCAGAAAGTTGATCGTGACCAGGATCACCTCAGGAAGGTTCGCACACTTCTAATCTAGTGGTGGTGGGCCCTTGACCTCAATAGCAGAGTGAATGTAAATGCTTGAGATGATAAAAACGTGCAATACAAAGGATATAAATAGGAGTACAGAGGAATACGAAGCGACCTAGCTAGCCATGTACTCTAAGGGGTACATTCCCTTATTACAGCGAAATCCAACCGTGCGACTCCGGGTGGTTACGGAACTGTTCAGGCAGAATCCTCGCCACTGCTGCTGCCTGATGCTGTCTGCCCGACGGTCCAGATGCTCCTCGTAACCGCCTGTCCCTTCGCATTTCTTCTGCCTTTTCGCCTTCGCTCTCGATAGTGCGTGCTTCGATTGTGCTACGGTGAGGAGTGCTCAATAGTGTTTTCACTAACCACTATTCGTAACACTCTTGGCTCTGCCTACGACTGACAAATATAGCTCGAACAGGAATAAGTACTGTCCCAATCTACCGTCCCAACCATCCTGAAATCTTGCTTGCAAGTCTGAATTCAGCTTTTGAAAATATTGCTTGCAAGTCTGAATTCAGCTTTTGCTTTAGTCGCACTTGGAGCGGCACTTCTTGGCCTTTTTCTTGCAATGCTCGTACTTGTGCGTGCACCTCTTGTGGTCATGCTCGTCGTCCTTGTTCTCGCGCTTGCACTTGTTGTAATCCGTGTTGCACTTCTTGTTCTTCTCCTCGCAGTCGGACTTGCATGACAGCATGCGGGGCGACCACAGGAACCGCCTACTCGCGCCGAACAGCTTTTCGACGAGACCTGGAAGAAGGGAGGGCAAGAGACAACATCATGTCAGCAATCAGTCGCTATATAACTGAGGGTACCGTACCACATGAAAGGCCTGCTCGTGCGGAACAACGCCCAGTCGAGAACTGGAAACAACTTGAAGGCAAGGAGGGAAAGCAACGAACCATTGAATATACAGATCCACGGTAGGTCAAGTGAGAGACACAGGGGGCTTTCGCGGCAAGTAGCGGAATAACTCACCAGGAGGCGAAGCCGCGTCGGCGGAAATGACAGCATCATCGTCTGCGTCGTCTTCCGCTTCGATCGCATTCGCGCGGCACGAAGGCGCCAGCGCGAGGGATATGAGCAGGGCGAGCGCGAGCAGGACGAAGAAAATCTTGGAACGCCTCATGGCTGTAGCTGAGAAGAAACGAGGAATGGAATGACTAAAGGAAAGTTGGGTACAAAAGCAAACCCTAGAAAACTGTACCCCATATGTGCTACCCCACTATAGCCTACAGTAGCTATGGCATATAAATCTGACACACCCCCATAGGCAAAGTGGGGGAGAACAAGGGGTCACAAGACCAGTCAAGCAAAGCAGAACAAGCTCAGGGTGGATCACAAAGTCACCACACATTCCGAGCACAAGTTCAAGGCCACAAGGCCAGTTCACATGCAGGATTGCATATATATAAGGCTAGACAAGCAAGAGCAGGTGTGTATATATATGCAACAGTACAAGGAAGGTCAAGGGGTGAGCAAGTGAGGCAAGGTAGGCACAAGACCCAGCTGAGTACAGAAGCGCTGATGATCACAAGGCGGAAGTGCCTTGGTGAAGATATCAGCAGTGTTGGCCTCAGAGGCCACGTACGCAAGCCGTAGCTGACCACGCTGCTGTAGCTCACGAGCAAGGAAGTAGCGGAGAGCAATGTGCTTCGTTCTGTGCTCCAGTCTCTGCTCTCGACACAAGGCCAGCATGGCCTTGTTGTCTACGTACAGCACTGGAGGAGAACGAGGCGGCTCTCCGAGGTCAGTGAGCAGGTAGGTGAGCCAGCGAAGCTCCTGTGCAGCCATGGCCCCGGCGTAGATCTCAGCCTCACAACTGGAGCCGAGAACAGAAGACGAGCGGGTAGCCCGCCACAAAACAGAGCCGGAACCAAGGCTGAAGGTGTAACCCTGTGACGACCGCTGCGTAGCCTGGTCGTCAGCCCAAGAAGCGTCTGCGTGCCCAGTGAGGACCACTGGACTCTGCCCTCCAAGCACAAGCCCCATGCCCGACGTACTGCACAAGTAGCGCAACACCCTCTTCGCTGCAGCCATGTGCTCCGGTCTGTGTCTCCCAGGAGCAACATAGCGTGCAAGAATGCTAAGAGGGTATGCAAGGTCAGGTCGTGTGCAGGTCATCAGGTAGATGAGGCAGCCAACAAGCTCTGGGTACGGGCCACTCGACTCTACGGACTCATCCGAAGGCAGAGCTGAGAGCGAGTGGCGAGTAGGCAGAGGAGTGGCCTGAGGCGAGGAGTACGTGAAGCCGAAGCGCTGAAGGACCTGCTGCACCATGTGTGACTGAGTCAGGGTAATGGTGCGGCGTGCTCTGTCCCGGGTGATCTGCAAGCCAAGGTAGCTGCGCAGTTCACCCAGGTCTGTGCACGTGTGTCTCTTCTGCAGCTCGGACTTCACGTGGGCGAGTCCAGCAGCGTCAGCTGTGGCGAAGACCAAGTCGTCGACGTACACGAGGATGTAGAACGGCGGCAAAGAAGTGTCGGTGCGCAGAAACAGCGACGGGTCGGCAGTAGAGGGAGCAAACCCAAGAGCCGCAAGTGTAGTCCTCAGTGTGTCGTGCAACTCACGCGGTGCCTGGCGGAGACCGTAGACTGGCCGCCGGAGGCTCCACTGGGTGCCAGGAGGAAAGGACCCAGTGAAGCCAGGTGGGCGACGCAGCCAGATCTCCTCGTGCAGGCTGCCCTGCAAGAAAGCAGTGCTGAAGTCAAGAGAGTGCAGCTCGTAGTCGCGGTGAGCAGCTATGTGCAGCAGTACCCGAAGAGTGGTCATCTTCGGGGTGGGAGAGAAGGTCTGAAAGTAGTCAACTCCCTGCCGCTGACTGAAGCCACGAGCCACGTAACGCGCCTTGAAGACAGGCGGAGAACCCGGCGGCCGCTTCACCCTGAAAATCCACATGCCACTGACGATGTTCGCCCCAGGCGGGGGAACCTCGTCAACGTAGGTGCCTGTGGACTTCCAGGAAGCCATCTCTGCGTCCATAGCTGCCTGCCACTGAGAGGAGTAAGGACCCTCTATCGCCTCCGCGTAAGAGCGCGGAGTCGGGATGTCAAGTGCATCCGGGTCTCCCTCAGGGGTAAGCAGTACGGACACGAGATGAGGTGAAGCAGCAGCCAGACACTGGAACTCCTCCTGCCTGTCCTCAAGGACGTCCGTGCCAAGGGCACACTCACCCCCGACGGACGGAGGACAGACAGACTCAGACTCAGCAACAAGACTAGCAGCGTAGTCTAGACGACAGCGAGCAGCAAAGTCGACGAGCTCAGCAACTAGGGCAGACGCAGCAGTGGACTCAAAGGAAGGGTCAGTGACAACAGTAGCAAGGAGACGCGTGACAGTCGGACTGGCAGCACGAAGGGAGTCCGACTCCGGGTCAGGAAGAGCAGGAAGAGAGGACTCAGGAGGAGAAGGCAAAGGGGCACGCAGAGGAGCAGTGGACGGACGCAGAGACATCCGGTGCGTGCCAGGGACAGGAGGAGGACGCTGACGCGAACCACGACCACTAGTGCGAGCAGCACGGACAGGCGACGCAGGGCGAGACGCAGGCTCACGACGCTCAGTAAGACCTCCAGTAGGACCAGTGTAGGGAGAAGGAGCGGGCAGTGGGGAGGCCGGCTGTAACTGTAACTGTGACGGGACAGGCTGTGGACACTCTAAGGGAGGAGGAGGACCAGTAGAAGGCGGGAGACCAAGCACCTGCTGAAGGAGCGGAACGAAGTACGGCCGAGGCCGCGCGGCGACTCCAGACACAGCAGGGACAGCACCAGTACCCCCAGCGGCAGCACCAGCGCCAGCAGCACCTCCAGCTCCAGTACCTCCACCAGCACCAGTAGCACCCCCAGTAGCACCGCCTCCAGGACCGACAGCAGTAGCCTCAGCGCCAACACCCTCAGCAGCTCCAGCTCCAGTCGTACCCGCAGGCCCAGCAGCTCCAGTACTCCCAGTACGAGCACCTCCGGGACCCGCGGCACCAGCACCCTCAGCAGCCGAAGAACCTCCAGCTCCAGCAACACGCCTCCAGCGCCGGGCAAACCACTCGCGCAGCTCCTGTGGAGAGAGTGGCTCCCGCCGAGACGAAGCACCCGGAGAACCTCCAGGCTCAGCACCGCCAGACGCCACACGAGCAGGCCCAGCTCCCTCAAGCTCCGCACCCCCAGGCTCAGCACCTCCAGGCGTAGCACCCCCAGGCTCAGCACCCCCAGGCTCAGCACCCCCAGTAGTAGCACCCCCAGGCTCAGCACCCCCAGGCTCAGGACCCCCAGTAGTAGCACCCTCAGGCTCAGCACCCCCAGGCGTAGCACCCACACGCTCAGCACCCCCAGAGTCAGCACCCCCAGGCTCAGCACCCTCAGCAGCACCAGAGTCACCAGTAACCTCGACAGGCTCGACTGCGTCTACCTGGGACACACCTGAAGGGGCAGGACCCTAAGGCGGGAGGGGGTCTACCGGGGGGGGACCTGGCACAAGGAAGAGCGGTGGCGGGGGGAGGGACGGAGTGCGGTAGGGGAAGAGGCGGTAGTAGGGGACCGACTCGTCAAACGTGACGTCCTGGGAGGACAGAACACGGCGAGAGGTGGGGTGGTAGAACTGCCACCCTGGCGCGTCAGGGGGGAAGCCAAGGAAGACGCAAGGAGCAGCACGAGGGGACAGCTTGTCCGCAGACAAGTCGCGGACAAACGCCCGAGATCCCCAGACACGGAACGCAGACGCATCGCCAACCTTCCCCGTCCACAGCAAAGCTGGGGAGGTCTCCGGCATGGAGACCCTGGGGTGAAGGTTGATCTGATGCGCCGCGTACCGAACCGCAAACGGCCACAGAAAATGGGGGGCAGCCGCATGCATCATGGACGTACGGGCGACGTCCATGACCATGCCAATGCGGCGCTCAGCAATCCCATTTTGCTGTGGAGAGTCCGGAAGCGTGAAGGTCTGGCGGATGCCTCGTGCACGACAGTAGGCTCGCAGAAGGCCAGAGGAGAACTCTCCACCTCTGTCAGAGTGCAGACGCAGAACAGGAAAGTCCGAGCCGAAGCTCTGCCTGAGCTGGAGACGAGCTGCGCGGATCCAGTCGATCAACACCTCAGTGACATCACCCTTGCTGCGCAAGGGGAAGACTGTGGTGTAACGCGAGTAGTCGTCAACCACCAGCAGGAAGTAGCGCTCGTGACCCTGTCCACGGACGCGGGCCGGGCCCCACACGTCCATGTGAAGCGTCTGCAGCGGGGCCTCTGTCGGAGGAAACTGGGAGGAGTGAGGGGCAGCCCGCTGCCGCCCCTCGACACAGGGGACGCAGGTAGGGCCAGGCCCCGGAGGAAGGGGAGGGAGGGACCGGGGAAGACCAGAGACAAGGACACGGGAGGCCATGCCTCGAAGACGAAGCAGGGAGGGGTGACCAAGGCGGTGGTGCCAGAGGAGAGTCTCGTGAGACAGAAGGCGACACGAACAGGGGGCAGACTCAGGACCAGACCTGGACGCTGCAGCAAACACCTGACCCGACGCAGCTACCTGACCAGACGCAGTGACTGGAGGAGGCGCAGTGGTCAGTGTGTACAGGCTCGACCCCGGCCGACGTGTAAACGTGGCCAGGTGTCGGCCTGTCCGAGCGTCCGTGCAGTGGGTCACTCGCTGACTCGCAGGAGTGAACTGGTGAACCCCCGCATCCTGTAGGTCAGCACCACTCACCAAGTTCGTAGAGAACGAGGGGAGGTAAAGACCAGACAGGGTGCCAGAGGGGGCCGCCGGACACGGGAGGACAGTGGAGAAGTGAGCAAGGACAGGACCCCCAGAGGGGTCTGCCAGAGAGACTGCAACTGGCCGGCCAAGCGGCGTGAGTGTGGTGCGGTCTCGAAAGAAGGAGCGAGAAGCCCCCGAGTCAAGGGTGAAGGTGTGGGAGGCCGAAGCCGACGCAGAACCTGAGAGAGCAGACTCACCAGCACCTGAGGGAGCAGACGCACGAGCACCTAGAGCAGCAGCCTCGCTAGCACCTAGAGCAGCAGCCTCACCAGTACCTAGAGCAGCAGACTCAATGCCCGGGTCGGGCGGAAAACACCGGTAACAGTCACCCTCATCACTAATAGTCACAGTATACATGGCAGCAAGAATAGCATCAAAGTCAAGGTCAAAGACAGC